ATGTATGTATGTATGTATGTATGTATGTATGTATGTATGTATGTATGTATGATTAGATCATAAATAGGAACCATAATGGTACAGATCTTCTAACTAGACACTTAATCATCAAAGCCAGCTGTCAACCATTTTCCTTGGAGAGGTACAATAAGCAACAGCCTCCAACCTTTCTGATGCCAGGGACTAGTTTTGGAAGAAAAATTGCCTTTCATGACCATGGAGGGAGGGGAGATAGTTTTGTGTGCAACCTAGATCCCATGTATGTGCAGATGAAGCTTTGCTTGCTTGTCTGCCACTTGCAAGGCTGACTTCCTATCAGGCTGTTGACTGGTACCAGTCCGTGGCCCAGAGATTTGGGAACCCCTACAGTAAGCTGCTCCAAAGAAGGGAAGAAGCCAAGGAAAATATTGTCTCTGTCAGTGGAAGATTCCTACCTGTTTGGACTGGTTTGGCCAAAACAGTAGTGGTTTGGCAGTCTGGGTCGCTGGAACTGGCAGTGACCCAGGCCTTCCACTCCCCCGAACCGGTTCTCCAGGCATCACCATGGTGCTGCCATCTTGGTTTTTTGCTTCTGCGCATGTGCAGATCAATATTTATTGTACTGTGCATGCACGTGCGGCGCACATCAAGCGTGCACTCATATACAGCGCACATCAAGTGCACCATGAACTGGTAATAGCGGAGGGGGGGAGAGAGAAGGCTAGTGATGTTGGAGGTGCTCAACAGCACGCTTTTCAGAGTGGCAGTGGTGAATTTACTGACTTTTAAAAAAGTAAAACAAGGAATAGGTTCCAGTAGTGACTGAGGAAACCTATCTCTGGTCTTTGTGCTTTGCTTTTTAAAAAGTCAGTAAATTCACCACCGCCACTCTGAAAGGTCTGCTGTTAAGCACCTCAAACATTACCAGCCTTCTCTACACACACACACACACACACTATCACCAGCTCTAGTGTTGCTATGGTTGCTTTAGCTACTAAACTGATTGGTGCACCTGGATTTCGATGAAGCCCATAATTATTTGTGATTTTTCAATTACAATTTTTTGTGTAATGTTTCAATTACAAAACCTTTCCCATATACAAGTTATGTAGGCCCACTACATAAACAGATACTAAACAGATATCTATCAATATCACCTTCCAGGTTGCTGACAAATTCTCCAAGCATTCTGGATCCTTCAGGTGCCTGGTATGGGTCACCTTAATCAGTCAAGCCTTCCTCTGTTGCAAGGAGCCAATCTATCTAAAAACAAATGATTGATGGAAATTTCCACAGAATGAAATCTGGTTCCATTTGTCCAGAGTTAAAAATCAGAGCTAATGTGTTGCTGATAATGTGGGTCAGGCTAATGATGATCTAGGATCAACCTAGGATTGCCATGGTGGCCATCAGATTTTAGGTCATCTCAGTCTCCAGAGAGAGGAGTCTGACATCTCAGAACAACCAGCTGGGGCAAATTTACCATCAGCAGCACCATTATTATTAAGCCTGATCCCAGTTCTCTCAGTTTGAATACTTATGTAGAAGGAAGGAACATGGACATATGCAAAGAAATACCATAATACAAAATAATAAAGTAAAATAAAATATAACAGCAAAACAAAGCCTAAAGGAGAGAAATCCATAACAGGAGAATATGTTCTGCAGTAGACCCTCTGGTCACAACCATAATTTGTTCCATAACTGAATGTTTTGAATGTTTTTGAATGTTTATTAACATTTGTAGGCCGCCCTTTTCCCTGAAGGGACTCAGGGCGGCTCACATAAAATCAGGAAGGGGGATACAGACAATGACGTAGACACATATAATAAAAATAATAAGCAACATTCATAAAAGAGCCAAGGTGGCGCAGTGGTTAAATGCAGCACTGCAGGCTACTGCTAGATCAGCAGGTCAGCGGTTCAAATCTCACCGGCTCA